AGAGGAAGTGGCCTCAAGTTGCGCCAGGGGAGGTTTAGATTGGACGTGAGGAAAAATTTCCTTACTGAAAGAGTGGTTAAACATTGGAAGAGGCTGCCCAGGGAAGTGATGGAGTCACCATCCCTGGAGGTATTTAAAAGACGTAGAGGTGGTGCTTTAGGGACATGATTTAGTGGTGGAGTTGGCAGTGCTAGGTTAACGGTTGGACTTGATGATCTTAAAGGTCTTTTCCAACCTAAACAATTCTATGATTCTGCCCACTGAATGTTTCCCACTGTTCATTGTTTTTTTTTCTGTAAGCAGGATTTCTGCCATTAATTTTCTGAAAAGCCTAAGATGTATTCTCTTTTTGAAAATTAAAATGCTTTATTGCTGCAAGTGGGAACTTGCTGTGGGTTGACTCTGGCCAGAACCTAAGCTGCCACATAACCAACTGCTTGCTCACTCTCCCCTCCCCAAGCAGGACAGGGGAGAGAATAGGAAGAGAAAAAGTGAGAAAACTTAGGGGTGGATATAAAGACGGTTTAATCAGTGAAGGGGAGAGAGAGAAAAAAAAAAAAAGTGATGCAAAGGTAGTCATTCTCTACCTCCCAGCAGCAGACTGATGCCTAGCCAGTTTCTGAGCAACCTTGAAGACAACCACCACCGCCCCCTCCTCTAAGCCTAATTTTTATAGCTGAGCATGATGTTACATGCTATGGAATACCCTTTGGCCAGGTTTGACCTGTTCAGTAATAACCAAAACATTGGTGTGATATCAGCCCTGGTTTAGCTACAAATCCAAAACACAGCACCATATGGGCTGCTATAAAGAAAGTGAACTCCGTGTGGCTCTACATGCATGTTCATAGGCATACCTCCCTCCATTTTTATTATGTCGAGCCAGCTGGTGCAGGGCAGTGAGAAGAGAGGGCAATTACGAACAAATATTGCTGTTGTGTAATTATGGTTTAAGTAGAGAAATTCCTATTCAGATGCTTACTCAGTTTATCTGAAAGATTCAGTATTTCCCCAGGCTATGGCCTCATTAGTTGAGGATTTTGAGGCTGATTCAGTATTAGTTACAAGGTTGCAAAGAAAAGCTTGATTGCTTCTAGAAATGATTGATTTCAGTTTTGTGCTAGTACTTATGGAGTGCTGTATTGTTGGGCTGTTGTTTAATGTTTATGGCTGAGCACTACTTCATGCCCAATTAAAAAACAAAAATGGGGGGAACACACAACAGTTGTCAAGCAGAATCAAGACGTTAACTACACATATGCTTGTCAAATTAAGTTAATTAGTTTAGATTTGTGATAATCATTAATGCTGTTACTGTTTGTTAGCATTTTTTTGAAGGTGTTGAAGCTCGTGTGGCACAAGGTATACGAGAAGAGGAAGTAAGCTATCAACTGGCTTTTAATAAACAAGAGCTTCGTAAAGTCATAAAGGAGTATCCCGGTAAGGAAGTGAAGAAGGGATTGGATAATCTCTACAAGAAGGTAGATAAACATCTCTGTGAAGAAGAAAACTTACTTCAGGTAAACTAAATCATGGCTTGAAAACCTTGTAATGTTTACACAAAGGCTTTTATTATTGCTTTTGCATGTATTTTCTGTGAGAAGTGCCTAGCTTCAGAATAACTGAAAAACCATGAATTTTGAGTGGAATTTTTTTACAATTCCACTCTGATTCTATTTGTTGTAAAATTGATTTGAAATGTCATGGTAGAGATACAGTTCGGAAAGAAACTTCCTTTATGATTCCCTAGGTGTCCATTAATGGGTGATCTCTCTTCTGCAAAATATACTGGAAATAGAGAGAACTAGATTTAAACGAACTGTTAACCTGATACGAAATTTAGCTGGTACGCTGTAGGAGAATATACTTTGTTACATCTTTTCTGATAGTTAATTATTTAAGTTTTTTCTTATACTTTGCGAACTTGCTCACTGGAGTAAATGATAAGTAGATTTAAGAGTTAAGCATGTATTAACAGCTTTTTAAAGTCTGAAACATGAATTAGTAGCGGTGTTCTGGTTCAGGGTGTTTTCTTTAAAGACAAAAGCAATAGCTCTTTTAGGGCAACTTCTTCTTTACTACTTCCTGCTTTGCAGATTTGGTAGGAGTCCTGTAAACATGAAAGACCTTAAACTTAATGGGTAAAAAACGTCAATCTTTTTTTTTTTTAATGCAGCAACTCAGTTTACTGAACTTCGTTGTTAGCAAGCATTAGTTTTAAAATTACACCTGAACTGTGAATTGATTAATGAGCCAATGTTTTGTAGTTCACATGTAGTGTATTGTGCCAGTTGACATTTCCTAATGTTTGTTTTCTTTGGCAGGTTGTGTGGCATTCCATGCAAGATGAGTTTATACGACAGTACAAGCACTTTGAAGGGCTGATAGCTCGCTGCTATCCTGGATCAGGAATTACTATGGAATTCACTATACAGGATATCTTAGACTACTGCTCCAGTATTGCACAGTCTCATTAAGTTCTAGAAGAGGAAAGAGAAGCTAGCAAAGTTTGTGCCTGTGTATAAGGGAATCAAACACTATAAATGCTATTTGTTTTTAAAAGGTGGATTTCCATGTGTATGTGTAGTTAACTGCCATATGTGTCAAGTTACACTCCTGTTTCAAACATCTTTCAGGGCAAAATGAAACCTTCCAGGATTTGTTGCTCTGCTACTGGGTTGAAGTACCGTTTGAAAGCATTAATTCTGTGAAACACTTCTGGTGTAGTTTTTCCCTTCCCCTAATGTTCAGATACTTTTATTTATAATCCCTTCTCTTGCTAAAAGCAGTAAGCACTACCTTCATAGTACGCAAAAAGTATACTACTGTTCTCACTAATATTTTGCATCTTGGAAATTATGTAAGCATTAAAGACTATCAAATCTTTTCCCTTCCTCGTTCTGGATACGGATGTGGAACTTTATGCAGTGGGAATACTGAATTCATGTTCTCGTATGTAATGTGACTATGGCTATGATTCTTAATTAAACTGTGTTCAACATATTCTTTGTTTCTATGCAGTGTTATTTCGAAAAGGTAAAAACGCAGTTATTTCCATTGTTTTGTCTCTGGGCATTGAAGTAGAATTGCTCTGTTGCTTAACACGCGCTTTTTTTTTTCCCCCTTCCCTTTAGTAAGTATGATGTAGCATCAGTGTACTCCCACCTCATGTAACCCCTTCCTCCTCCTGGAGCTTCAGCTGCCTGTGATTCAGGACGTAGTTTTTCTGTACAGCTTGAGGAAATTGCCAAGTTGTTGGATAGCGCTGGGGTGTATGTAGACTAGAAACAGGCACGATGAAGGTAAACATGCAGACAGAGGTAAGATTTTGGTTCTTGAGATGCAGCTGCAAAAATAAAAAACAAAAAACAGTAATGTAAGAATGTTATAAAACTCAGAAAAACTAACCTGCCAGCTAGCAACACGGCAACAGCAACGCTGGCAACATCAACATCGGCACCTGGATTTGGGTGAGCATACTAACGCTTAAGTCTCATAGCTCATTAAATCCTAGTTGTCTTTTGTTTACTAATCAAGTACTTGATCCGAGTTGTATGTAACCTGCAGGTGACAGAAGGTAGCCAAAGCAACACCCAGGGGAGGTAAGGGTTCCGCTTGGCAGAAGGTCCCTTCTGTACTGAACTAGTACAGACAGCTTCCACACGAGGGCTGCCTGTCACTTCTACATCAGCCGCTTCAACCCCTGAAGTCTGGCCACAGCAACCATGCAACGGGCAACGGCACCGCAGGCACTAAATGCAAACAGGACCCTCCCCAACAGGGTGACAGGCGGCGGCAACGTCTACCTCGCCGCTTCGGCTGCAACCAGAGCTAAGCTGTACGTCAGACGCGCGGTACGTCACCCTCCCTCGGCGCGAGGGCTGCCGGTC